TCTGAGTAATTATTTTGGAAATTCCATCCTGGTATACAAGCAGGCATGAATTTGTCAACCATTGTTCTCACTTACATTAACGCTGATTAAGTTACTGTACTTACGTTTTACTTCAACAAAGACTGTATACTTACATACAATCATTTTTGTATGTGTCAGATATTTAGAATAGCATATTTAACAAATGTACATTTGAATAAGAAATAACAATCAATTCATTGGAAAGGAAGCTGTTGTCAGAAAAAATGGCCAAGTATTTGTTGTAAGCAGTGGAAAAAATACTGTGTACTTACATTAGAGCTTTGTTGAAATCTCAGAAATTTATAATGCATACTTAAAATATACCATAATATTAAGTCAGTATGAAATAACATTTTTTTTTATTATACATGTATTTGTAATTAAGATGATTAGAAAGATACGTCATCATATTTTTTACAAATGTTTATACTTTTAATCATAATTATGGCTTCAAGCAATTTTTAGATAATGATAATTTAATTTAGCATTTAAAGCTGTATGCCCAAAAAGATCAAACTTGAAAACAAATGAACTAAGATTTTAAGAATAGTCAAAATTTTTTAATGATTCAAGATTAAAGTATAAATTGATGTGCGAATTATGGCATTATTTATCATAATTTTTCTACTGCGTGACTAGCGCAGTAAGGGCTATTTTTGCATATTTTGACGCTTTAAACTCTACTTAAACTATAAGTAATACAGAATGAATATATGACATTCAAATGCAACAATTAATTTAACTTGACCAGTAAACGGGATGCAGCTTCCCAAACAGATTTTGTTTTCATTTTATTGTTCAAATTAGAAAATTTCAGTAACGATTATTTAGATTTCAATAAATTTCTGCAATAAAGATATGTGCGTAGTTTATCTTTAAGACAATATATTTGCGTCTATGTTATGCTCACTAACGATATGCCATAATTTTAAAGAATGTGATATAAATGTTAAAAGCTCTTGATTGATTTTATGTTTCATAATGAAATTTGACACATACACTATGAAAGCCTTTGCATATTTAATCATTAAATTTGTTGGATGTTACCTCATTGTAAGGGAAGTTACCGCCTAAAGTTGACAGCATAAGTGAATCTTAAGTTACACCCCTTTACGTCCCGTACACAATGGTTGCTCTTAAATGAAATTGTGTAAAGAAAATATGTTGATAAATGTAAAAAACTAATTATTTTCCTACTGATTTATGTTTCCTCCTAAATAATGTATGGTTTCTGTTTGTATTGGTTCCCTTTGTATTTCAATTCCAGTCAATTACTAATAGATCTGGTGACACATTTGTTTTTTATAAAATGTTCAGCCTGCAAAAAATAAAGACAAAATATAGATTGATTATACTTGCCATTTTCTATTTTTGCTTCAATAGTAATATCGCCTGTATAAGGATAAAAAAGGACTATAGGAACATGAAACGTGTGACCACCACGTGACCACAACATAGTATCTCGTGGCCACGACTTAGCTATCTCGTAATAATAATGCACATACATTTACCATTTTATTTACTACTACAACAACAACAACATTCATTTCATTAATATTACAACAACAATGTAGCTATATACATGAAAAAATGTTATTTGTGGTTCAAATACAAAAAGAAAAAAATATATACGAAAAAGGTAAGTACGGGAAGATACTAATATATAACTTTATACATGAAATTTTAATGACAAACGTCACTGTGTCTATTTTATTTATTCCTTATCCGTAAACTATATCAATTGTATCGTTGATTTAGACACTACCTGTGTGTTGTATTGTTTGACACATTTTGCAGATCAGATAAACATAATAGTAATAGATCAGTTTCACAGATTACAATGCAATAGGATTGTCCGATCATGAATTGTGTAAATTAATTTGATTATTCTTGTGTGGAGTTGGAAATTTTGGAAATAAAAATTTGACAAGTATTATTATTATTATTCTGATATGGAGTTATGGAACACTTTTCGTTTGGAAATAAGATACTCTACTAGTCGTCGGTTATTTAAATCACAATTTACACACTTCTTAAAGGCACATTATGCCTCAGAAACAAATATTGTTTTCATTCTTAAGAAAGGGCAAACACGAGTTTTATAACATTTTAAATAATGGTTTTAAAGCATGTTAGTTGTTTATCACCTGATGAAAGAAGCGCTGAATGTAACATTATTTCTCAAAAAAGAAGCGGAATGTAAACAAAGTAATATTTTGACTTCCATACACAATACAAAATTAAATCAATGTAGCTGTACTATCTGTCAATAAGCAACAAAAGCAAAAGATGGTAGAAACTATTTGCTAATGAGTAACATTTTGGAAACTATAACAGGACGTCAGAAAAAAAGCTTTGGGGTGAATAAAACAATTCTGTGGCATATCGGGCCTTTAAAGATAATTTACTTGTATTATATTATAAGGTTGCTGGATTCAAAACTGAATTCTGTTAGGCAAGTACATAGCTGTCAGAGGTGCGAGGCTGGTCTGATATAGGTTTTGCAGCTGTGCAAGAGTTCACTAGAATCAATATTGTTCTAAAACTGTTTTTTTTTTTACAACACCATTTTTGTTATTGATATTTTGACAGAACTTTTTTACTTTGATTACATTCGATTCGATATCGAAATTTGGAATCAAAATTCCAGTAGTGATTAATAGTGTTATAGACCCTTATTTAGAAATATAACATATTTCGACTTTTGTCACGTGTTCCTAGAAAATTTTTACTGCATTCTTTATACGCAAAGGTTATTGCACAGGATATTTTGTGGTAATGCAATGAAATATGGGGCTATCCGTATCCTGTGGACACATTCCCTGTTTCAACAAAACCCTGCTTTAAACTTTACGCAAATTTATAAACTGTTTCAATTTGTCACCAATTCATTGGAGTTTTCAAGAGTTTATTTAGCAATCGTAAGCACATAAATATTTAAGTGTGCTATGTAACACCTAAGTATTTGTACAGAATGTTTTGTGACAATACAGCGGAAGTGCATCGTATCCTACGGATACATGTCTAGAAGTTTATGAATTTATTCTTAAATTTCACCTGAACTGATTTAGCCACTTTCTACACATGATTTCGACAAAATTATTCATTCATGACAAATTATAAGTTTCCCATGTTTGTATGGGGAAATTGATGTTAGCGAAAGTTTGTTCACTGCAACTTTCATCATAACTTTTCTTAGAGACCACAATGACAAGACTTTGATGATGGCAATGCACAATTGACATTATCAAAGGTCCTGTATTAAGAAAATAGAATCAAATTTCTTGCGGATCATTACTGTGATTTGCCAGATTTAGCTACTTTTTATGACCACAGAAACAAGAAAAAATGTTAATGTCAAATAACCTTAAGCATTTTTATCACTTTTATCATATAAATTTTTTGTGCACATTTGTTTTGACACAGAATTTGGTTCCTGTGATCACTTAAGAAGGTATGCCTATAAGCAGCTTTAAACAGTTTATTGGCGTTAATTTCACAAAAGTTGGAAAGATATGTCCAGGAAAAGTCCGCAAATCCGACAGCATGATCAGTTTATTATAGAGTCTACGTTCAATGGCCTTTGCTCTCCTTTGCTTGATTTAAATACATGTTTTCTCATATTTCAATGACATACATGTACAAGTACAATCATATCAAATATACATTGATAATATGGAGTAGATTGGTGAGATATTGATAATGGTATATAACACAAACAATACATGCAATTCAAATTCACAGGTGCTCGTCCAGTCTTGGTGCTCATATAAAAAAATGAAATTAAAAAAAAAAAATAAAAAAAAAATAAAATAAAACAACTATTTTGGGTTGAGTGTAAGAAAAAAATATGAAATTTTCGTTTTCATATATACCATAACTACGAAAAGGTCACCTATTCGCCGTAACGCTACGGAGCTTTACTAAACAACCACAATGTCGAGTTCTGTAACAATACATGCTATTTTGCAACTCTTTACACATCATGCATTTAGAAAATTGTTAACATTGTTCTTCTACCTTACATACAATCTTAAATAACTTACATTTAAACTAGGACACTCCAATTTGTTAAAATCTTGCAAAACAACAGTGATTGTCGGCCATTTTGTCGAAAACATACACCGTATTGTTTCGCTGTTCTGGCCCCCTACGACTACGTTCGCTGAACAATAGGCAACAGTAACCAATAAATTGATGCGAAGGTTAAGGCACGCGCCTTGGTACAGATTAAGCATATGGCTGTGCGTTTTCATTGAGTGAAATACGATATTCACCATCTAATTGCCCTAGATCGCGAAATAGATTAGGATTTTTCTGTTTAACGTTTTCAATGGTTTGAATTGAGATTCTTTATAGTAGGTCTCCCAAATAAACATCTATATTTGTCTCTTACAACGTATATATTTTCCACAGGTGCTCGTCCAGTCTTGGTGCCCATATAAAAAAATGAAATTAAAAAATAAATAAATAAAATAACTATTTTAGGGAGTGCCCGAGTTTAAATGTAGGTTAGAAAGGTAGAAGAAGAATGTTAACAATTTTCTAAATGCACGATGTGTTAAGATTACAAAAATAGCTTGTATTGTTACAGAACTCGACATTGTGGTTGTTCCTCAGCGTGTCCTAGTAAAGCTCCGTAGCGTAACGGCGACTATGTGACCTTTTCGTAGTAATGGTATATAGGAAAAAATGTTTGTCATTTTGTTTTCTTACACTCAACCCAAAATAGTTGTTTTGATGTTTTTTGTGTTTTTTTTTCCATTTTTTTATATGGGCACCAAGACTGGACGAGCACCTGTGTTCAAATTATTATCTTATCAAAATGTTAGACTAAACTTCAATCAAACATCATTTCAGTTGAAGTAAAAGATACTACGGTGTGTGTACTAGATATATTCGAATTTAAATTATTAAGTAATATCGTATTACAGAATTGAGTTGATTTATAAAAGCCTTGTTGTTTTAAACTGCAGATAATGGAGGTACCTGGAAAGACCAGAGATAGAGCTCAAGGATTTGCGTCATCTTCGGGATCATTTGAATGCAATGGAGTATTATGTCAACCTTGTTCAAGCGAAGGGGAGATTTTAGTAGCAGATGGTTTCTGTAAGAACTGTCAGGAGTATCTTTGTAAAACGTGTATCAAATATCATCGCAAAGTAACTGTCAGTAAACATCATACTATTCTAGATAAGGCTAATATACCGAAGAATGTTGACCACCAAACCATCAAACAACTTTGTACTGAAACATGCGAGAAACATAAATTAGAGATAATCAAGTACTTCTGCAGAGATCATGATACAGTCGGGTGCGGTAATTGCATGGTAATTAAACACAAGGCATGTCAGGTTGAGTTTATTCCGGATATAGCTGACGAATTCATCAACGGAGAATATAAAGCTATTCTGGATAGAATCGAGAAACTCCAAACTAAAGTTGATTCCAAGATAATGTCAACAGAGAAAGGCAAAAAAGCATGTGCTGAAGAATTCGTTTTCGCAGTTAACGAAATCAAAAGGTTCCGAAAGGAGATTGAAAATTATTTAAACAAGATGGAAAAATCAGTGCTTAAGGAATGTGAGCGTCTCAGGAAAGAAAATGAAAATGTTATAACTAAAAATGAGGGTATCCTGAAAACTATCAAGTCTGAACTAGATGGCATTACTGAATATCTCAAGTCACTGTCAAAGAAAACCACTGACCTGTTTGTTGAAGCAAAACAAACTGAAGCTCGACTGAGTCAGTTAGAGCAAGCTTTAACACAAACTATAAATACGACATATACTGAGTATACGTTCGTACGTAGCAGTGACTTTGACGCGATGGTTTCTGGAAGCTGCAGTCTGGGTAAACTTTCTTCAAAGTCATCTTGTTATTACCCTTCAATGGAATGCATCATTTCTGAATTTAAACCAGTATTTGACAGTGAAATTTATGTTCTTTCAAATGCTGAGAAAGAGGGTGCCATAATTTCAAACATGCTTCTTTTATCATCAGATGCACTTTTATGCATGGATAGAAAAAAACAACTTCGTTTTAGTGGTAGACATAAAACAAAAATGTATTTCATCACAAATTCTCTTGAAATCTGGACCGTGGGATATAACGTTCGTAGCCACCGACCAGATTGCAGTTACATTACCTGATATTGGGAAGATTTGTTTCCTCTCAGTAACAGACAAGAAACTGACACCAATCAGAGAAATAAAAGTCAACGGACAATGTAGAGGGATAGCTCACTACCAGAATACATTGCTGGTATCTTTTGTGGAACCACCAAAACTTCAAATTTTAACACTGGACGGAGAGGTTGTACACAATATTACAGCTGGTACTTTAGGTTGGCCTGGTTGTGTAGAAGTTAACGTGTGTGGGAGTAGTTTCTTTGTATCTGATAATAACAACTCTTCGTTGATGAAATTTTCGTTTGATGGAAAATTACTTGCCACTTATCAGGACGAAAGTTTTAAGTATCCGAGGTCATTTACCGTTTGTGAGGATGGTTCAGTTCTTGTTTGCAGCAGTGGAAATAATACCTTATATCTAGTTTCGCAAGATTGCAGAAAAATCAAAATCTTGCCGATTGAGACAGATAGGCTTAATAACTTGCAGTCTGTCTGTTTTAATGATGTAACTTCCACTTTGTATGTTAGTAATTATTCTGGAAACTCCATCCTGGTATACAAGCAGGCGTGACTTTATCAACCACTGTTCTGACTTTCATTATCGCAAGGCTAAATCATTTATGAATATACTTACATACAACCATCATTAAATGTGTTGCATATTTAGAATAAAATATTAAAGAAATGTACATTAATTTGAATATGAAATTACAACCAATTTATTGGAAAGTAATTTATAGAAGTATCACAAGTTCGTGTTGTTATCATTGGAAATAATACTGTGAACTAACATTAGAAGTTGAAAACTCATTAACCTATCATGCGTGCTTAAAATATACCATAAGGTGAAGTCAGTGTAGAACGACATTTTTGTTTTAAATAATTTTTTATGTTTCAATAATAAAATTTCACACATAAATATCCTATGACAGTATTAACATGCATTATTAGTTTTCATTTGTTTGCTGTTACGTCATTGTAAGGGATGTTACTGCTTTTTCGTAAGTTACACCCCTTTACGTCCCGTACACAGTGTTAAGACTTACCCAATGGTTGTTCTTAAATGACATTTTGTAAAGCAAATATGTAGTAAAATGTATAAAACTAATTCGTATTTTCCTATTGATTTATGTTTCCTCCTAAATAGTGCGTGATTTCTATTTATATGGGTTCCCCTTGTATTTTATTTCCAGTTTATTTTATGTTTCATAGATCTGGTGACACATTTGTTTTTAATGAAAATGTTCAGCCTGCAAGAAATTAAGACAAATATGAATTGATTAATCTTGTCATTTTCTATTTTTTGCCACAATAGTGATATCGTCTGAATATAGATTATAAAATGACTTTAGGAACATAAATCGTGTATGTATATTGCTTATAAAAATCATGCACACACATTAACCATTATATTATGAAATGTCCTGTTACAACAACAGCAATATTTTATAAGTATAAATATTACAAAAACATTATAGCCATATACATGAAAAAATGTAATTTGAAGTACAATTTCAAAATTAATACAAATATATATATACATGTATAATTATATATAATTAAAAACAAAAAAACACAGTCCATGGGTTAACTTATTTAATTAATTGCCAACCGGTTTCTCTTATGATCATCAGGAAGAAATGTTTCTCATCAGAGAAACCGGTTGGCAATTAATTAAATAAGTTAATTCGTGGACTGTTTTTTTTGTTTTATTTATATAAATATTTGCTCGTGGGACACTTGGGTACAGAGCAGAGGCACGAGATGCGGTTGCACGTGCATTAAATCAACGTGCCAACCCTAGCATACCCACAGACGATGTTCTCAATATGATGGACACTGTCCTTGAAAATAACACTATTTCATTTGATGGAAGAAAATTCACACAGACAGAAGGAACAGCGATTGGCTCACGATTAGGGATGAATTACGCATCTACATATATCTTGGATCATGGGAATCACAGCTGATGGAGATAACAGATAAACTTCCGCTTGAGTATTTTCGGTATGTTGATGATGTTTGGGGCCTTTGGACTCACGGTATCGAGTCTTTAAAATCATTCCACGAGCTTAGGAATAACCTTCATCCCAGAATAAAGTTAGAATTAAGATATTCTACTGAAAAACTTGAATTTCTCGACGTAATGACGAAGATTCAGAATGGCATTTTAATAACAGACCTTTACACTAAACCAACAGATAAACACCTGTACTTGCATAAAGAATCGTCTCATCCGGAATCGACTAAAAGATCAAGACCATATGGACTTGTCCTCCGTGCTAAACGAATATGTACGAATGAATCGACTTACAAACAACATAGGGATAACATTAAAACTCAGTTACAGAAACGAGGCTACGAAGATCGACATATTGAAACAGAATTAAAAAAAGTAGATAGTAAGAAAAGAAGTGACTTATTACAGTATAATGAAGATAAAGAAAACACTGAAAGAATCCCCGTAGTACTGACATTTTCCCGAGCGCTCCCGAATGTAGGACAAATAGTACGAAAACACCTACCTGAATAACACACCTCAGATAGAATGAAGGAAATATTCCCAAATCCTCCAATTGCGGCATTTAGAAGAGATAATAACCTACAGGACATTCTTGTTCATAAGAAACACAATAAACTATTTTTTCAACAGCCGAATTTCTGTGCTCATTGCAGATCCAAAAAGTGTGCGTTTTGTCCATACGTTATTGAAGCAGACACATTCATTGGTGTGAACGGGGCCTCGTATAAGGTTCGAAATCAGATCACGTGCAAATCTACGAATGTGGTGTATGCAGTTTATTGTAAGCGTTGCGAACGTTATATTTATGTTGGAGAAAGAGGGGATACGTTGTACCAAAGACACCAGAATACGAACCAAGTACAACGATCCGTTAGCTGCGCATTTTTACACGAACGACCACACAGTTAATGATTTTTCAATAATGGGGTTGGAAAAGCTCTACAGACATGACCAATTACAGAAAAACAATACAAAATTTGTGGAAAAGTAAATTAAGAACCTATAGATCATATGGAGTTAATACCAAAGAATAACGCGGCAGACGGCAAACAACGCCACGGCGGGCGTTGTTCATTGACATTACGTCACTTCCATTGTTTTGTTTTGATATATTTGTATTTAAAATAAATGCTGCTGAAGAAGGCCGCAAGGCCGAAAGCTACGGCATGTTTTCTTATATACGACAAGTTAGAGATTTTACTTTTATATAAATATATAAACGGTCAGTACGGGAAGCTACATATATGCACTTTAAAGATAAATGCCACTGTGTACATTTTATTTATTCAGTATCCGTAAAATATAAAATTTTGTAATGTTTTGATTAAATATTTAGAGACTATCTGTATGTTGTTTTGTTTGACATATTTCTACGATCAGATTAACATAATAGCAATAGATCAGCCCCACAGATTACAATGTAACACGATTGTCTGATCATAAATTGTATTAATTTTAATTTATTTGAAGCAGACTTTTTATTATTCTGGTATGGAGGTATGGAACAGTTTTCCTTTGGAAATAAGAAATTTGACAAGTCTTACGTTGTTTAAATCAGATTTTAAACACTTCTTTAAGATACATTACGCCTCATTAATTAATATTGTTTTCATTTTTATGAAAGGTCAAACACGAGTTTTATAACATTAATAATTATAGAAGTATTTTGACTTCCATACAAAATACTTAATTAAATCAATGTTACTGTACTAACTGTCAAAAAGCAACAAATGCAAAAATAAACAAAAACATTTCTTTTCTGGGGCATTTTGGGCCTTTAAGGATAAAAAACTTGTATTATAGTATAAGGTAAAGTACAGTACTGGATTCTGTAAGAAAATTACATAGCTCTCAGAGACGCTAACCGAGTCTGATGTACCGATTTTATTTCTGATACATGTAGATGATACTGATCTTATTTCTGATACATGTAGATAATACCGATCTTGTTTCTGATACATGTAGATGATACTGATCTTATTTCTGATACATGTAGATGATACTGATCTTATTTCTGATACATGTAGATGATACTGATCTTATTTCTGATACATGTAGATGATACCGATCTTATTTCTGATACATGTAGATGATACCGATTTTATTTCTGATACATGTAGATGATACTGATCTTATTTCTGATACATGTAGATGATACTGATCTTATTTCTGATACATGTAGATGATACCGATTTTATTTCTGATACATGTAGATGATACCGATTTTATTTTCTGATACATGTAGATGATACCGATCTTATTTCTGATACATGTAGATGATACCGATCTTATTTCTGATACATGTAGATGATACTGATCTTATTTCTGATACATGTAGATGATACTGATCTTATTTCTGATACATGTAGATGATACTGATCTTATTTCTGATACATGTAGATGATACTGATCTTATTTCTGATACATGTAGATGATACCGATTTTATTTCTGATACATGTAGATGATACCGATCTTATTTCTGATACATGTAGATGATACTGATCTTATTTCTGATACATGTAGATGATACCGATCTTTTTTCTGATACATGTAGATGATACTGATCTTATTTATGATACATGCAGATGATACCGATCTTATTTCTGATACATATAGATGATACTGATCTTATTTCTGATACATGTAGATGATACCGATCTTATTTCTGATAATGTAGATGATACTGATCTTATTTCTGATACATGTAGATGATACTGATCTTATTTCTGATACATGTAGATGATACTGATCTTATTTCTGATACATATAGATGCTACTGATCAAATTTCTGATACACGTAAATAAGACAAGCTGTTTTTGGTTTGGTTATTCTTATTTCAAAACTTTGACTGTAAGACTGTCTACATACAATCTCCAGAATTAACAAGTGTTATTTCCTTTGCTGTTGTCCGCCTCAAACTTCACACTGGCCATATCTCTCGCAGAAGCGGTGGATCCATTGCAGCGGTGGTGGTTCAGTAAATCATTAAAACATTTAACAAAATCCAGTCATTAACTGACCGACAAAAGCAAACGGCCATTTATTATCCACCGCCTCTGCGCGAATACACCATCGCAGATGCGATGGACCCACTATTTCCGCGAAACCTATTGCCATTGTGATCTTGAACATTGGTCACATATTTTTATCTCGATGTTTTCGATGAAAAAAATACGAGCTATTGCTAAAGCCATGTTGTCGTTGTTCGCACTACGGTTGATGTTACCTTTTTTTGTTGAGTGTTACGTCGCAAAAATACAATATATGTCCCAGCGACCTTCCAGCTTTACTGGTGGAGAAAGACCTCAGGTGTCCTTCCGTGTATTATTTCAGGCGCGAACGGACACCTGAATAGAACCTCCGACGTTATGTAAGCTAGCTGCATAGCTATTACAAAATTCGAACACACAGCGGTAAGGGACAAGTCGTTTTAAGTCAACAACTTTAGCCTCTTGGAAACATACACCAAAATATTTTTTATAGCGCAAGACATTTAGTAAATGAACTGTCTGTCTGTCCGTATGAGGATAATCTAAACTGGCAAGTTTATATATGTATATTAAGTTCTACCTACATCAAAGGCTTTATCATTTCATTTTACGCACTTACCAAAAATAAAGAACATAATCTTTGCAATAACATGACTTTGAAGATGACTGATAAATGTGCGGTCAGTAATCCTTAAATCACTCGGCCAGCACGTTGCGATATTGGACAATAGGGAAGCGTTTCTCAAATAAATAATTTGTGCAGAAAATAGGCAGTTGAAAGTATACCGCCGTCTTTATGAGCGATATACTAACGTATATGAAAATAGGAATAAATCATTACAGACGGGGAAGTGTATGAAGGCTGATTTGGAACGCTTTTGTGCGTCGTTTTGGCGCTAGCGACAACAGGACAAAGCGCCAAACAGAGGGTTGTCGGACTTTCGTCTTATCGTCCTGTCGACGATGTACGCCAAACGGCGCGTTGTCGTGTGGCGTGTTGTCGCGATGTCACATTGTCGCTCGGTTCAAATCGAAGGATTGGCTTATAAGCCATGCAACAGGCGACATCGCGACGGCGCGTCACACGACAATGCGCCACTTGGTGCGGTTCGCTAGAGACAGGAAGACAAGACGACAGCGTGACAACGCGCTGTTTGGCGTTTTCTCGTTTTGTCGCTAGCCACAGGACGAAAAGGCGATCACGATATATGTTGCGTTGTCGCTGATGACAACGCAACGCGCAAAGTACCTAATCAGCCATCGAAGTGTGATAGTTTTGGGTGGATTCCACTCCGATAGATATTTGGACATTATCGTAATTAATGACAAGGCCCATAAGGGAGATTATGTGTTGGATGAAATGTAAACCTGAACGCACGAAGATACAAGGGGGAGGTGTTCGTCCACTGGTGATACCATACATCAATACACTTTTAACAGCCATTTTAATATTCCTTAAGTAGCTGAAGAAAATATGGTTTACTTCAGACAAAACGGAATCACCTTGCTACCATGGTCAACTATATCGACCAATATGTCGCCGATTGATCATCTCTTGGACATCTTGGCCGTGCAACATTGACCCAGACACCCCACTAACTGCTCCTAGATCACAATAAATATGAAATTATGGATCTTTACCTTTGTTGCGATAACTGTATCATATTTTACGGTTTTGCTTTATACATGTACGAAAGAATACTTGTTACAAAACTGATATGCTGTATTATTAAAGTTTAACAATAAGTGGCCTTGACCGTTATGATTTTGTTCAAATAGCAATAACTTTGATATTTGTTTATAAAAATCGACAGATTTGATTCATACTGGGACCAAACAACAAATATGACAACATATGACTTTATCACGGGGGTGGAAGTGTTCAAGAAGGATGGAGTTCTTATGATAACTTGTTCAGGAGTTCTTGTGATAACTGTCACGGATTTCGTCGGAAAACATCTGTATATACTACAAAAACACTCGTTAAAAATGGTTATTTTCATCTTTCCAAAATGAGTTTTAGGTGCTTAATTAAACTTTAACGATTAAGATTGTCTTACATCTTGCATCACGTGTCAAAAACTAATTCACAGGCTATTTTTCATCGACTCTTGCTTCAAATCTGGTAGTTTTGAGTAAATTTTCCAAATTCACCAATTTGCCAATTCACAAGTTTTGACCTGTTTATTTCTGGTCTTCATCCGTGCCATACCTAATTACCTAATTATAATGCAAAATTGCAAAGATAAAGCACCGGCTAACAGATTTATACCCGATTTTTCAAATGTCCCGGAGTTCTTGTGATAACACTGAAGACGTCACAGAACTCCATCCTTCGTGTAACACTTCCTCCCCCGTGTTTATCTGTAAATGATCTTGACTATCAAAGTAAAATATGAAATTTAACTAATATGCTTTGTATTAGAAAATGGTATTTTCTTGAAGTGTTCTTTTTCTCTTGTGTTTTATTTAAAATATAAGAAATTGTCGAGCGTGGTCCCAGCATGGTGGTGGCTCT